GCAGTATTGTTTCTGTTTTAATAAAACACTTCGTTAGTGATTTACATTTTGTTTGTTTCTTCCAAAATTACGTTTGTTATGTTGTAATTTTGGTTATTTTCTAGTTTCCTGTCAGTAAAATCAGGTTTGCACCTTGTAGAGTCATTAGGATTCTGGACCTCTCGAATTCTCCTGAGTGTGCTACTGTTACATCACGAAGGCATGCTGGAAGGAGAGAGAAAATACCTTATATACTGCCCCCCTTTTAAAAGGCGACTAGGGATTGGGGACCCAATCACCAAATCCTGAGGTGATGAAATATTATCCACCACCTTTTAGTGCGTCATTGTAGAGTCATTAGGATTTTTGAAGCAGGAGACGGAGAAAATATTCAGTGCTTGGGGATTCAAACTCTGGATCTCTCGAATTCGCGCCAAGTGTGTTTCCATTACACCACGAATTGGGGGACCGAATCGCGAAATCCTGTGGTGATGAAGTATTATCCACCACCTTTACAGTTCGGGAACCATTGTAGAGTCATAGCAAGTAAATTAAAAGAATTAAGCGTGCCTAAGTTGAAGAAATCGCACGTGGGATAATTTTATGAAGATAGTTATTTTATAAGTACCTACTGCTAACGTAATTAGTAAAGACTTTTGCCTAAATTAAATTCTTGTGTCATGTACCTCGACTACAATATTATCATGACTAAGCAGTTGTTTCTGTTGCTTCTTGTAATGAATTTCTGTAAAATTATCATCCTTCTTTCCATGATATTACATATATATATATGTACCGGGTGGCCATAATTAAACTGACAGTGCTCACAGTGTTCTGTAGCGCGATCTATTTGCGAGAATGACGCCACATTTTGTAGGAAGATTAAACAAGACGGGGGACGAAGGATTCCGCGAAAAAAAAATTAGTTCCAAAAGTCACCGCTAGGGGAATATTTGGCGCTGTGTAATAGAAAATAGAGTGTTAACAAATGCAAATTAATACGGAATAAAATTACCTTTTATTATGGATATGCCTTATGGAATATGGATATGCCTTACAGTACGGTATGGAAAATCTTACGAAAGATTATCAACTTCTATCCGTACAAGATCAGCCGTGTACAGGAGTTACTGTACCCCGACCATGATAAGCGATTGACTTTTGCTCTCACCTTTCTTGCCAGAATGGAGGTGGATGATGCTTGGCCGTGATGGAAATCTTATGGGAGACGAGGCCTACTTTTACCTGAATGGAACTGTGAATACCCAGAACTGCCGAATTTGGGATGACAAATCACCACATGCAGTCACAGCAATTCCCTTACATTCACCAAAGGTAACTTTTTGGTGTGGATTCACAGCGGAATTTATCGTAGGTCCATTCTTCTATGAGAACTTTACCCCGACAGAACCGGAAACCTGTTCTGTTACCGGAGAGAAAATGTCGCCACATGTTGAACAGTTTTGTCATTCTGGCACTTCAGCAAAGACAATGCCTGGGGGAAATCATTTTCATTACTTTCCAACTGCATTGCCTCCTCGGTCGCCTGATCTTACCCCATGCGACTTCTGGCTATGGGGTTACCTTAAGTCCAAGGTCTATCAAGGAGTGGTCCAGGACCTGGCTACGTTGAAGGATAACATATCACGGACTGTACGGGAGATTCCTGCAGACATGTTACTTTCTGCTGTTGTGCATACTGTGCACAGAATGCAATATGTGGTCCACAACAACGGCAGCCACATTGAACCTCATTTGAATGCAAAATAAAAGGTAATTTCCGTATTGATTTGCATTTGTTAACACTCTATTTTCTATTACACAGCGCCAAATATTCCCCTAGCGGTGACTTTTGGAACTATTTTTTTTTCGCGGAATCCTTCGTCCCCCGTCTTGTTTAATCTTCCTACAAAATGTGGCGTCATTCTCGCAAATAGATCGCGCTATAGAACACTGTGAGCACTGTAAGTTTAATTATGGAAACCCGTTATATATCCTGAACATGTTAATGCCCATTCATGTCAAAAAATACAATATATAATTCGAATAAACTTCATTTAATCACCTTTACTAGATGTTCGTTAAATTTCATATAATGCGAAACCAGAAAAAAAATTTAACAAGCGAAAAAAAAAAAAAAAGAAAGAAAGAAAGAAAGACAGAAATTAGTAAAATAACAAGCAAAAAAATTAATAGATGTAATGGATGCAAAATAATATACTGAGTGTTAGGCATTTTATTTTGGAGCAAGAGACATGAAAAACATAGAATGCGCTCGCCGAGACTCGAACTCTTATCTTCCGATGCTATCTGGACGTGCTTGACAGTTTCATTGCGAAGACACTCCGTAAGGAGAGAAGAAAAGTAGCATACAGTCTTAAAATTAGAAATAGGTAAAACGATATCTTCATCTCCTGTTTATTTCAAATGCTCTGTCACCGAGCAGTTATAATCCAGCATTGAAAGCATAGTTTTCAATGATGTTACTGGACTTGATCTATGTTCCCTCTTCTCTCCGAATCCTCACATAGTTATTATCGGATTCCAAGCACTGTTCTGTGAACAGGACATTACACTGCTTAGTTGTTCGTCGATACTCATGTTGACGACGTAACTGCAATCCTGCTTCTATGGCTTTGACTGTTGTCATGGTATACAATTTTTTTCTATGTATAGTTTTCACAGAACAGTAGTCACAAGTATTAACCTTACAATTTTTGCAGTAAGCACTGATTTCAAAGTTGACGCAGTCGCTCTCGATTGCATTTAGTTGAAAAGGCATGTATTTATCATCACAGAGCGGCTTCAAACGAGTCTAGAGCATGTTAGCATTAAGAAACATCTTATCGTCATCTTTGAGTCTTTTTTTTTTAATCTTCTCTATCCCTCAGGAAATGTCATGCATAAAAATTATTTCTGGAGTTAGCTGTACACGGTGCTGACGATAGGCTTTCCATGGAGTCACATGATGTTTATATATTCCCTTCATCAACAAAAATGAGGTTTACTCTATAAAAATGAAATATACGTTTTGAAGCTCACAATTTGTACAGCATGTTTAACTTTTCTAAAGTAGTATATTATTTTTGTCTTTGACAGTAAAATAAATCCGTATTAAATAATTTCCTTAATCAAAAAAATATTATCCTATACTTTCATCAAAGCTCTTCTGGAGTTTAAAAGTGTCTAATCTCAGCCTACATCTCTAGTGTCCAACATACATTATGAGATCTATATTCCGGCTGGATGAAGGTTTTCATCCGGTTCGATGACAACTATAGTCTGTTACTATAAAATCGGCATTTCAAGGTTATAACTATACCTTTCTCTCATTTACGAGGCCCACCACCGGGCGAGCGGTAAAGTCGCTGAACACTGGTATTTCGGTCCGAGGTTCGAATCCCGCGAACGGGCTGGCTGCATGGGTGTTTTCGTGGTTTTCCTCATGTGTAACGTGTATACGAGCCAGTTTCCCTTAGAAAGTCCTCCACGAAGGCATCCCTCCCCTTAGGCAGATAGCCCTCGAGGCTTTGCCGTAATTAAATAACCTAACCTAACCATCTCTCATTTACGATCGTAACGTTTGTCGTCATCATCCCAATCAGGAAATTTGAGTATTTTATCAAATTAGAAGGTCTGATTTTTTTTCGGCAAAAATTGTAACTATAGTTATGAGTCATGATTTGAGACAAAGAAATGACCTTGGAATGCCTATTCTAAAGCCAAGACTCCAAGGTTCAAGAACAAAGATTAAACTTTTTAGAAAATAAAATATTCAAGATAAAGGAAATATAGCCTATAGCAGAATAAAAATATCTTTTTCCCTCATCAAAAGATTTACCAACCATAATTGCAAGAAATTTCCCTAACGAATCATAAAAATTTCCCTACTGCTTGATTTTCCGGTTTAAAAGAAATACTTCTCCAATGCAAAAATTTGAGATTTCTCCCGCGTTGAGAATTAATTTTTAAAACTTTGATCTCGCTTGGGTAGGAAGGTTGGTACTACATATTGTTTCAGGGTTAAAGCCTTAAAATGCATTAAAAATGTTTCTTTTGACCACTGGAAATCTAGCACTGCGATACGTATTAGTAAAGACATTTACTTATACTTTCATAGATATTGATCCCTTGAGGTCATTACATTTGATGGCCAGGCATTGATCACTTGAGTGAGCAAAAGCAATCTCAGCATAGAGCTTAAAGCTCAAAAATAAAATTCTATGAAAGATTATTTAATAACATATATGTTCATACTAATGATAATTGATTTATAATATAATTATATGTATAGGTGCATATATTTCTAATGCCTAACTTTACGGTCCATTTCTAACTTTTTTCTTTTATTTATTTGTTACGAAAAATTAAGTCACCAACATGTATACAAATTTTCAATACCTAAACCTGAAATCTATTTCTAAGAGTTGTTCTTTTTATTATTATCATTATTTAGCAAAAACAGATAGCAGTATTAAGTTAACAGAATTTAACGAAATTCTATGGAGTAGTATTTGGCCGTGAGCAACCAGCAGTACTCGGCCATGAAAGTGTGAGTTTTTAAGGTTGATAGATATCTTTACTTGCATAGGATTCTATCAGTGCAGCTAAACATATCTATCAATATTTTGGTTATTTCTACTACTATACAAATATTTACTATGCACTACTTAAAACTACAGCTATAGAATCTTTAAACAACAGATGCAAAACAGTTTAGCACGCATTTTAGCAAAACAATAAGATTTTTCGCAAAAATTTTAGCTCAAATGAAGCTATTGATTTTAAAAACTATCACTAGTTTTAATGAAGTTATTGACACATATTAATCATGACAAAGATCTAAACAAGTCTAAAATTTGTTAATTTCTTTCTTAGTATTTACAATCAGTCCTTCACTTCTTTTTGTTAAATTTTTTGCATGACGAGATATGATACTTATAATATGTACTTTATAATTTTTAAAGTAGAATATCAGTTTCAGACAGTTCTACATGACTTTATTTCAATCATTTCAGGTTCAGCATCTGGAAAGAATTGGATTTCGATTCTGTAGTCTACTGTACTAAGGCAGTAGATTCGTCGTTTTACGAGTGATAAAGTGAAATTCCAAGAAAATAATGAAGTAAAGATTAGCAAATCCAAACATTAATTCAACTAAAGCATTTGGACTTTATCTTATGAATATCTGAAGTAGGATGTAAAACATGAACTACTCAATTCCTTGAACTGATCTATTAGACTGTTTTATATTGCTAAACTTCTTACAGCGGCTGGTAAATGGCAGATAAATTCCAAATACAAACTTTGTGCGCAAATACTTAAAAAACAATTTATTTGTCTCAAATGCAAATTAAGTTTTTAATTTGAAAAACATTTCATACAATTATAACAGTTTGGGATGCTATCGCCGTTTTTATAATTATCACCAGCCTATCAGTACATTATTTTTAATAGAATAAATCAGCGAATTGAGAAACATTAATCAAAATTACATAAAAAAATTAAACAGTGACGCTTCATATCGTTTTTAAATATTCTCCTAAACTATTTAGGCATACTTTTTATTCAAACATAAATTCCATATTCTAAAAGGTACTCTATATATAGACTTGAAAATATACACACACTCTCATAGAAATATTTTTCTGACTTAAATTCATACTAAAATAAAATAATATGCATCGTCGCATATATGCTTCGTAGTTCTAGTTAATATAATAGCTAAGTGTTTATCTGTTAAGCTAATAATTTAAGGAATAAAAAAAAATCAAAAATCATTAATTATTTTGTAAGCTTTAAAACCTATTTAAAGTATTGCAGCAATCCATCTTAAATACTTCAAGAGTTATCGATATTTTTTCCAGAATTATTTTTTATTTTGAGTTTCAAGTAGTTAGCACTCTACGGAAAAGATTAATTTTGCCTTGGAATGTCTTAATCGGGTTCCTTCTCTTGAATGTGTTCCTTTCTTTAAAATTCCAGCAAGATTTACATAAATCATATTTTGAATTGCAATAGACAAAAAAGATATTTTTAAAAATTTGCAAACAGTTTACTATCTGTGTATTTTAATTTATTAGTTACATATTAACTTGCAGATTAATATCTGCATTTATTATCTGTATAATACATGTATTTAAGTAGGTAGACTCAATTTCAGTTCCAACTAAGTTCTCAGTTTGTTAGTTATTAATTTCTCTGAAAGAGATATAAAAGAGTGGTTTTAAATGTTTTAATGAAATAACCAACTTTGATTCATTTAAACAAAACTAATATATACGGAATTTTAGAATTACTGTAATATTATTTCTCGCGCATTGATTTTAAAGTTATATTCTTTTATTTGGAGTTCATTTTATTTCTCGAAACGATAGCTGAATACATTGTTAAATCTTGTAAGTTGACATAAAATTATTTTCTTCTGTTTTCTGAAAGGTGTTACATATTTTTTTTTATTTACTGAAATTTTATCAAAGGGTATTGCATAATTTCACAATTTATTATATGAACATATTGCTGTAGATAATTAACTATACTACTGTAAAGATAGCCTTTATTCGCTAAGCAATGTCTAAAAGTGAATTTTGTAAAAATTTATCTTTAAAACTTGTATTTTTTTAAATATTCATTGAGGTTTTGCACATTTCAGAGATTGCTAATTTGTAAATTAGTACTATAAAGATTCTGTTTGTAATTTGTTTATAATAATTGTTCGTCTTTGAATTCCTCCCTACACAGAAAAGCATTTTAAAATTTTTCATTGCTAGCATAAAATTAATCCGTGTAGCTGTAGTTTAATTATCTGACACTCACTGATTTAAAATTAATACATCTGTTGCTTGCTAATTACCTCATTCTGCTTTTATCTTAACAGCTCTTTTATCTACTGTGCGCGTTTCTAATAACCGAACATTTCTACGAGTGTAGCGTTTTTATTTTTTGCTATTTAGCCATACAGGTCCACTTGTTTGCTAACGAAAGTTTAATTTAATAAAATCCGCGTTTTATGTAGGTATTAAAACTATTTTAACATGTAAATTGATTTCTTTCTTCGTATTTCAAATTATATCTTTTAAACTAGCATTTTGTCTAAATTAGTATTCTGTTTCGCTTCCTCATCATTTATTAATAACCATATAGCCTTAAATGCAATTTTAATTTTATAGTAATTATAATATTTTTATAGTAATGCAAATTTAAATATTTAAAACCTTTTAATTCTAGACATAATTATATATCCTTATTGCAAACAGATTATATTCCGGAAATGTGCACTAAATGAATAAAGATATATATTTTATATTTTTAAAATCCTATCGTTCCGAGAGAAAAATTTCTATTTTCTAAAGTGTTATGAAATAAATTTATCTTTTTTGTATTTAATACTTTATTTGAAGTGAGTTTACATGAATCAAATAGTTTGTGTATTTCAAGCACTGCATCATAATTTAATAAACACTTATTGATACACAGTTTTTCAAACAAGAAAAAAAAATAATTCTTTTGTTACTCATCATTTATGATCATTTGATACAAAATTCATAATCCAAATTTAAATTTCAATGCCTGTCAAAAATTTGTGATCAAATTTAGACCAAAGATAAAGAATTGTACCAGACAAAAAAAATCTGTGTGTGCCCATAAACTTCTGAAGCATTGCCTCTGTCAGAGCATCGCCAATTAGTATCCGAAATGGAAAACATATCGAGCGAAGAAGCTGTTGTAATTTATGAATCTCAGTTAGATGGCTTGAATTCCACATCAAATACGACGCATATGGATTGCTCCAATGAGTACTGTGTCTCAGATGAAGACTACCTTGCCATGATAGAGGAGTACATATACCCATCGTCTGCAGAGTGGATACTCATTTCCCTTCACGTAACAGTATTCCTTGTTGGCTTGGTGGGCAATGCCCTCGTCTGCGTGTCAGTGTACCGTAATCACAGCATGAGAACAGTGACAAATTACTTTATTGTAAACCTGGCAGTCGCTGATTTTCTGGTCATCCTGGTATGTTTGCCACCAACCGTGCTATGGGACGTCACCAAGACTTGGTTTTTCGGGAGTATCACCTGCAAGCTTGTTCTTTATCTTCAGGTAAAATTATTTGTCTCTATCTAAGATTTAGATATTTTAAAAGTAGAAAGTTCATAACATCATGGTACAAAATTTGTCTATTCATATTTTTGAATGCATATTTGTTTGATATTATCTCATTACGTTGATTAAAAATATAACTGGATTAACCAAAATATATTTAGTTACTTAGTTTTATGAACGGTGTGTATGCACAAATGAGTGGTTTATGAACACCTGTATGAATGGTTTATGTATGAATGTATGAAAGGTTTTATGAACGGTAAGTATGATAAGTAGGCTATTTAATCACTTTTCTTGTTTACAATCTGTCCAAGCCCCTATATGATTTTTTTATTTACATTAAAAAAGACCCATTTTTAACAATTTTTCTCTCAGATTTTAAAAGTACCAAAATCTGACCTATCCTAGTAACTGAGATTAATATCAATGCTTCTTTATTTACCCTGTTTAATTAATCCTTTTAACTGAATATCGATAATTACATTATAGTGTTATTTTACTATACTTGCTACTTGAGCGTAAATAATTCCCGTATATTTGTGAGATAATATTGTATTTGTTTTTATTTGATGTTTACTTAATCAAAATTATCAGATTTAAAAGTGATTAAAATACCTGATAAAATTACCCAAGGTGTTATCTTTAGATACACTTCGATTTTAATTTTTTTTCAATAAGTTTCAAACGATTGAATTTTGCTAACCGTAAAACAACTTGCTTTCCTCAAAAATTAGGAAAATAAATAATAAACATTAAACTAAGGACGATAACAAGAACAGGCTGATAAAGTTTGATCTCATTATTTTGACGCATTTTTAAAATTTTAATATTTTATGGAATAATACTAATGCAAAAAACTGAATCTGTCATCATTTTTAAGAAATTGTCCATGCATTTTAAAACACTACTACGCAATGCTAAAATGTTTCTTGTTGACAGATTTTGTAACTTTGTATACCGAAGTCTTAAAAAAGTATGTTTTAGAAAGAGAAGTGTACAGTATTAATCGAATACTCGATCACGTAACATTGAAATTAAAAACAAGAACAATAAATACCTACTTTTAAATTGCACTATTGCTAGTGCTGCTGTATTGTATAAACACTTTTAATAAGCATGTTTTATTTCCTCTTCTATAATTTCCGATTTTTCTATACTCGAATTTACTTTATTTGTGCATTTTAGGCAACGTAGCAAAGCGAGGACATGATTCAGTTCCTCTTTCACTGTTGCAATACTTTCTCTCGTATCGCTGTCATCATTTTAATGCTCAATGTTTTAAATTATAGAGCTACATTTCACAGTCTCAATAATAATTTCACATGGCTCTGTTTCATTCATTATATTGTTGCTCTCGTATGGGTTCGTAATAAATTAAATTCACATACGTCCGATGATAGGTTGATAAAATTTATTTTATCAAACGAAAAACTTCAGAGTTCTGGAACTTTTCACAGAAATACACGTGAAGGTGCTTACAGTATCACAGAGTACAATCAGTAGTTACATTTCAGTCTAACAAGAACGTAAAACATAACGCAATGCAAAGCACAACTAAAGAGCGAAGCTAATCCGGAAACATCTCAGTACTCCGAACTCACGCTGAACTAACAACTTACAACTTTTGAGAAGCTGATGGTCTCTCCGATCATATATAGTTTTCAACCGGGCGCCGAGATATTTCTAGTACTCTCAGCTTCTCAAAATTACTGAAAGGACTGATTAGAATTACAATTACACAGAGCATCAATTGCAGTTATTCAATTACAATACCCACTACACTTATAAAGAGACCGGACCAAAATGGCGCCAAGTTTGGCGACTTTTCTGGCAGAACATCGTTTTCCTGAGCTTTTCATGTTACATTATGCAGAAAAATAAGACAATTTCACATACAATTTTACTAAAACTATCTATCTATGTACAAAATTCGTAACATCGCCCCCCTTCCCAAAGACTGCACGTCCCGAGCGGAACAATCTCTGGAGAGGAAGCCATACTAAGGTAAATCAGTGCAATACTTTAAACGTAATTGCCATAAATGACATAAAGCAAATCAAATGCTAAACCAATAAATAAATGCATAAATTTATAAATTTATATATATATAAGACCATGGTCTTAGTACACTATTTACATTATATACACTATGTACTATGTACTATGGCCATAATAAGGCTCATCGTAATAAAAGACTTTAGGCTTAAAATTAGATGACATACGGATTCAAAATAGGGCGTCGTTCAGCCTGTTTTGGATTGTGTAAGGACCGTCCCAAGGTGACTGTAGTTTAGGAGAAACTCCTTTCCCAAGAATCGGATTTCATAACCACACCTTGTCACCTTCGTTGAATCCGATTTCCTGTAGATCTCGTTTGGTATCGTGTCTTCATCTTCCCCTTCACCAACTTGACTCGCTCACGAGCGAAATTATATCACTTCAAACCATGCCTGGAGAATTCGGATGTACTCCTCAGGTAATGAAGGCGCATCTGGAGGGCGACTAAATAACAGTTCGCAAGGCAGACGAAGGTCACAACCAAAGAGCATCTGGGATGGGGATAGCCCTAAGTCTTGCGGACAACACAGCGATAAGCCAGAAAGAACAATGGTAACTTCTGGTACCAGTCCTGTTGGTTTCTGGAAATCGTCAGCGGGAGGTTATTAGGCATAATTTGATTAAACCTCTCTGAGACTCACTTCATATGCGAAGCGACGTCTTGTACCAGATGTTCAAATCTGATGACGGAAAGACATTCCGATGGCAGCTCATACTTCCCGGATAGGTATGATATCCTTGATTAGGTATGATAACTTGATCAGGAATATGATACGCTTCAAGTCACTTGGTTAAGTAATCAATAACAACAAGGAAGTATTTTTGTCATTAGCAGTTCGTGGCGGATGTCCCAGGATGTCAAAGACTATGCGTTCAAAGAGCGCTCCTTCATTGTAACGTTGCAACTTCCCTGGGCTACGTTTCTTCGGTCTTTTCTGACTCGCACGAGCATTGCAAGATTGGAACCTTTTTTGCACGTCAGCCCTTGCGTTAATTCAGTAGAAGCGCTCTAGAACTCTATGTAAAGTCTTCATTATTCCGAAGTGGACTCGTATTGGCTTGCTAAGTAATTCTTTAGGGGCATTCGGGATCCAGGAAGTATCAGTTGCCATCGGAATGTCTTTCCATGATTCAGAAAGTATCAGCTGCCATCGGAATGTCTTTCCATAATCCGATTCGAACATCCAGTACAAGACGCCATTTCGTATACGGAATGAGTCTTAGAGAGCCCAGTATTATTTTATCCTAGAGCTACAGATCGAAATGTCCTGCCAGGTAGGATTCTTGTTTGAAGATTTCATTCAATCAATTATGGGTTTAATATTGCCCGTCTTCCAACTGGTCTTTCCTGATTTCTTCATCACTCCATGTGTCTGGATCAGTCGATTCTGTATTCGCAATTTGACGTATGACCGGATTAAACAAGTCGTATATCAGTTCGACCCTAGAACAATATCGGAAGCTTTCTAGACAGGTTCTTCTAAAGAGGACGTCGGCGCTTTCATGCAACGATCCTTTCCTATGACGGATTGTTGTGTCATATTCCTGCAGTCTATGTATCCATCTGGCTATATGACCGTCCAAATTCGTGAAATTTAAAAGCACATGATGCATGATTTATACGGAGCAAAATTTTCTGCCGTTGAGATAATGATGGAAATGTTCTACGGTTTTTACTGTGGCAAGCAACTCTTTCCTGGTGACACAGTTAATTCCTCTCCGATTTAGATAGACATTTTCTGCACTATGCTACGACATGTTCTTGACCATTTATTTCTTGTGACAAAACAGCACGGAAAATATTATTGCTCGCATCTGTGTCAAGAATAAATGGTTTATGGGCCTGAGGATACGTCAGGATTGTCGCAGATGATAAAAGTTTCTTCAGTTGTTAAATGCATTCTTACATTCTTTTATCCACAAGAACTTTTGTTTGCAATTTGTCACACTTTGAGGGGGTCTTGCGATGAAAGAAACATCCATTACAAATCTTCTATAGAAGAGGTAATGCCCCAAGAAACTTCTAAGATGTTGTGCATTTTCGAGAAGTCTCCAATCTTTAACTGCTGATTCTTTTTCTGGATCCGTACACATGCCTTCGGCAGAAATGAGATGTCCAAGTTAAGTCACTTTCATTCTCAACAATTTACATTTGGCAGGATTTAATTTTAGATTTGCTTCCTTCAATTTCTGAAGTACCTTTCTAATATTTCCCATTTGTTCTTTAAAACTCTTCCCAACGATGGCGATGTCATCCAGGTATATCAGACAGGCTCGTAAGGCAACCTCTCATCTACCATCCATGACGCGTTCGAATGTTGCCGAGGTATTACGTAACCCATTCGGTATCTCCTTGAACTGCCAAAGTCCTTGTCCGGTAATAAATACCGTCTTTTTTCGGTCATCAGAGTATATTTTTATCTGTCAATATCTACACTTTAAAAGTGTCAAAAATCACTTGCTTCCAGAAAAAGTGTTGAGAATATCGGAAAAGCTGTCTTTCTTCGTAAACTCGTTTAAATGGCGGCAATCAACACAAAATTTAGTTCAGCCGTCTTTCTTTCTGAACAGGACTATGGGAAAGGCCCATGGACTTGCAGAAGGCTCGGTAACGTCCCTTCCTTACATGTCCTTTAGAAGTTTTCCTACCTTTTCCTATCCAGCAGTCTGCAGATGCCTTGTATGTTGCTTGATCTGCAGATGATGTTGCTTGATCTGTATCAGTTCTATGCTGTGTCAAACTGGTTCGACCTACGTGAGAAGACGAGAGGGAGAAAATATCTTGAAATTCTTTAATGGCATGTTCTAAAGCATTTCTCTCTTCATTACTTAGTTGTACATTGTGCAGTAACTCCGATGTTAGGCTCTCCGAGGACACGGATTCTGGAGGGTTACTGTTTCGTTTATAGCAGGTCACTCAATATATGCTGCAACCACTT